GTCTTAAAATTGTCGTTTGTTTAAGATCTTAAACGTGACACAAATTAAGACTATTTTAAGACTCTTTTAAGACGTCAAAAGAAAAATTCCGAGAGCAGATTTTTTAAAATTTTGTTCTCGAATTTGTTGTGAAAATTAATTTTTAGATGATTTTACGACTTTCTAACCGCAATATTTTTGAGTAAAATGTTTTTAAATTTAATTTAAAATTGTTAAAAAATTATTATCTGACAATTTTAAGACTTTTTTTAAGACGTTCCGTTTTAATGTTCCGGGGCTTTGTCGCTGTTAACCCATCTTAAAATAGTTTAAATTTTTTGTTAAGATTTTTTTAGGACTAATTTAAGATAATTTTGAGACAATTTAAGGACGCTCCATAAATAATTTCCGGAGCTGCCACTGTGATGTTATCTGAAAATAGCCTAAAAATTTTTTAATATTTTTTTTTTTTCAGATTTCTTTAAGACTATTTTAAGATTTTTCAAGACTATATAAAAATTATTTTAAAACTTAAATCTTAAAATAGTCTTAGAAAAATCTTAAAATCGTCTTGAAAAAATCTTAAAATAGTCTTAAAAAAATCAAAATAATTATTAAAAAATCTCGGAATTTTTTTTTTTGGCATCTTAAAAGAATCTTAAAATAGTCTTAGTTTGTGTCACTTTTAAGATCTTAAACGAACGACAATTTTAAGACAATTTTAAGACGATTTTTTTTTTACACGGGTAGTAAAATCACGATTTTACTGTTTGAAATGGTAATTTTTAGCAGTTGATCATTACTTATTATAAATCGACTGTTATTTATTACAGTTTATACTTTTTTCCGTGTAAATATCAAAGTCAAAATTCTTAATTATTAAACTTTAACATTTCCGACTTTCACATAGCGAATATTACTGTTTGAAATAGTATTTTCTTTCATGTAAATAATAAATTGTAGCATTTAAATGATAAATATTGTAAAGTGATTATTAAAATCACGATTTTACTGTTTGAAATGGTAATTTTTTCCAGTTTATCATTAGGGGCATTCCATATGCGAAATAGGAAAATGATTAAAACTTAAAAATTTCTCTAATTCATTCTGATTTAGTCCTAATTTATTATTAAAAGTTTATATTTTATTAATTTGTAAAGAAAGTTTTTTTTAATCAATAAGAAAATCGATTTTTCTCTCCTAGTAACTTTTCAGGCGTACTAACTTGTATCCGGGTCAAATATTGTTTTAATAGATGTAAGAACAAATTCATTTTATGTTTGTTATTAACTAACATATTTATTATTATAGTTTTAAGAACAAATTTTTTTATGTTCGTTATTAATTAACACCTAAGTTTATCAAGATCGTGTTGTCAGCATGCTAAATCCTTTATTTGTGTTTTTTAATTAGTTTTTTTTAATTATCCTAAATAATTTATAGCTAAATATATAAACAATAATGTTTCTAAGGTTGAAATAATATAAAAGTCTTTTTAATAAACAACTTGATGTAGACATTTTGTACTTGTCCCACCAGACACAAATGCCTGTCCCACCAGTCACAATAAAAAAAATTTTTTTAATTGTTTCTGCGTAGGTAATCTGTCTAATTCTTCATAATATTGAATGTTTGTAGGATTAATTTTGTATTGGGAGGGAAGTATTTTTTAAAAGTTTAGTGATCGAACTGAAATTGGACTTTAAGTATACCGCGGTAAGAGAGAAGGATTTTTCTTAGTCCCACCAGTCACACTCAGTCAAATTATCTGAAAATTGAATTTAGAATAAAAATTTCGGCTGAATGAGAAAAATTGATGACCTTTTTTTAATGAAAAATTTAATTTTCTACTAAAAAGGTTTTTTTGTATTTTTTTCGTATCTCCAATATTTAGCTTAGAATTAATAACAATAAATTGAAACAAAAAAAACTAATCATAAAAATTCTTAAATGAAAATAATCTAAGCTCTATAAATAAAACTATGAACCTTGGTATAAATTTAACCGGTATTAAAACTCGAAACAAAGAGATTAATTGGTCCTAGGATTATAGTATCACTAATATCGCCTCCTAACAATAAGCCTCATTTGATCTTTCGTAAAAAATGGTCTAAGCCTATAAATACAATCTATAAAAAACAAATTCACCCATTATAAATAATACCTCGAGGGCGATAAATTACAATCTATTGTAAAATTATAGCACAATACCATAAAACACAATATCATAAAACATAACATTGATTATAAATCTTTTTGTTTAATTTATTTGCAGTGAACTTTCGCCATCATGAGCTATTTACTGGCGCTGCTTATCGCGAATTTCGTGATAGCCGTAAGCGCGATTCCAAATTACTCGGGACTTCCCCCGGGACCTTATTGCGCCGGTAGGTACAACAACGGAAGGTGTTGCCCGGGAAGACATGACGACTGCAGCGCGCCTATTTTGAAGACTACATGCTACTGCGATGAATTCTGCAACCGAACTCGCGAGGAAGACTGTTGTCCTGATTACTGGTCACATTGTCGGGGGATCACTTTACCGACAATTGATGATGATTATGGAGAAATTCGCCGTAATTATTATTAATTATTAATAATATTATTATTAATATTATTATTGTTAATATTATTATTTTTTTTTCAGAATGTTTTTTCAAAGGAAAATATTATAATCATGGTGATACATTTAAAATAAATTGCAATATTTGGTAATTATTATCTTTATAATTTTAAAAGTAATCATTATTAATTTGAAATTCGAGTAAATAAATATAAAAATTGTTTTTTTTTTAATTGGTTATTTTTACGGAAATTGTTTGGCTGAATATTTTAGCAAATTTTTTTGTAAAAAATTAAATTTCCGGCAAAAAAACTTGAACTTAATTTTTAGAAAAAAAATAATTAAGAATTATTTTTAAAAAATTAAAAATTTTTCAAATGTTAATTTGCACACTTAAAATTTAATGATTAATAAATAATTTAAAAAATTATTTAGTAAATGTTCATCACTGGGCAAACGCGCAGATGTACTCTGCGAAGAAAACCGATGTTTGATGGAACAAGATTTACTGAGCACTCTTTACCTCGAAACCGAGAGACTAGGATGGACTGCGACTAATTATTCTGAGCTTTGGGGACGTACTCTCGAAGATGGAATCCAAAATAAATTAGGAACTTTGAATCCTTCTAAATCGGTACTTAAAAACTTTAAAAATTATTTTATTATATCATTAAAAAATTATTTAATTAATTAATATAACTAACTAGCAACCTTGCAGTCACTATGTCACTGTCGTGAATTTTGAACTATAAATAAATAAAATTTTGCTTTATTAAATAATGACTTTTGTTAAAATGCACTGTACTTTCTTAACTATTGACCTTCTTAAAGATATAAGCTCATCCCGATGTTACATTCATCAAGAGCTTTCATTTGAGTACCCACATGCATATTCATATATTTTTTATATATACATATATATAATATATATAAATATATGAAAAATTGATGTGGGTACTCAAATGAAAGCTCTCGATGAGTGTAATGTCGGGGTGAGCTTATATCATCAAAAATGTCAATAGTTCTCAAGATACAAGGTAATTTCTTAATTATTGACATTTTCAAAGATATAAGCTCATCCTGATGTTACACTCATCGAGACCTTTCATTTGAATACCCACATGGCATTTTTTATATATATTTTATATATATGGTATTTGTGAAATATATATAATATATAAAATATATGAAAAATTGATGTGGGTATTCAAATGAAAGGTATTGATGAGTGTAACATCGGGATGAGCTTATATCTTTAAAAATGTCAATAGTTCTGAAGATACAAGGTAATTTCTTGTTTATGTATCTAAAGATTGAGTAATTACGAATGCAGCCTAAATACTTATCATAATAAATTGACTATCGGTGAGAATGATATGAAACTTTTTCTTATTCTCTTACTAATATAGATTATTTATTTATTTAATTAATTAATTAAAATATCTTTAATTAATGATTTCCTCGCAGATCCATAACATGATTCCCGTGAAAAGGATCTACAACCCCGAGTCTCTTCCCCGTGAATTTGACTCACGATCCCGGTGGCCCAGAGACATAGGGGGTGTAAAAGACCAAGGCTGGTGTGGAGCTTCTTGGGCCATTTCTACCGCAGATGTTGCTTCAGATCGGTTTGCTCTGATGAGCAAAGGCTCTGAAGACATTGACCTCAGTCCCCAGCATCTTATTTCGTGCAATATTCGTGGCCAGCAAGGATGCAGAGGCGGGTACCTTGACCGCGCATGGCACTTTGTCAGAAAATTTGGGTAAGATCTTACTTTAAAAATTTTTTATCATTTTTTTTTTTTTATTAAATTAATTTTTTTTTTTTCTAGTCTTGTGGACGAAGAATGCTATCCATGGGTAGGACGTGAAGACAAGTGCAAATTACGCAGAAAAACAACCTTGAGACATGCTGGGTGTCGTACTCCGAGAAATTCATTGAGGACTGATCTATATAAAGTTGGCCCAGCTTATAGACTTGGCAATGAAACTGATATTATGCAAGAAATCTTAACATCTGGTCCCGTACAAGGTAAAATTACGTATTAAGTAATTTATTATTTTGACCTATAATTTTAAAACAAAAATATTTATCATTATAATCTTTTAATGAGATTAGTGATGGTAATTAAATTTTTTATGTTTAAGAATATTTAACTTAAAAATTTTATTTTTATAATTACCGTTATAAAAGTTTTTATTAAAAATTTTTTTTTTCTTTATATAGTAGTAATAATAATTATAAATTAATTATTAATTAAAATTAAAAAAAAAAATTTTTGAATCAAGAATTAAATTATTGTCTGATCACTAAAAAAAGTCATAACTTCCAAAATAATGATTTTTGGGAAAAAATATAAGAATCTAAAATATTTGCTTAAAAAATTTTCTACAAAAAATGTTTTTATACTATGAGGCTATCTTCAATATTTTTGGAGATATAGTAACTTAAATATTGCTCACATATCTAAAAATGAATAATTATATAAACACTATAAAAAAAATGGTCATAACTCGTGAAATATTGAATTTTAGAAAAAATTATAAAAATCCAAAATTTTTGCTTTATAAATTTCCTACAAAAAATGTTGTTATACTATAGGGCTATCTTCAATATTTTCGGAGATATAGTAATTTAAATATTGCTCACAAAGTTAAAAATGAAAATTCATTATCTAGTCACCATAAAAATGGCTATATCTTCCAAAATGATGATTTTTGGAAAAAATTATAAAACGAAAATTGTAGCTTACAAAATTTTCTAACGAAAACATTTTTATACTTTGGGTCTATTTTTGATATTTTAGGAGATATAGTAATTTTTTTAGTATTGCTCCCAAAAAGAAAAATGAAAATTACTTATCTAGTCACCATAAAAATGGCTATATCTTCTAAAGTATTGATTTTTGGAAAAAATTATAAGACAAAAATTGTAGCTTACAAAATTTTTTAACAAAAACATTTTTATACTTTGAGTCTATTTTTGATATTTTAGGAGATATAGTAATTTTTTTAGTATTGCTCTCAAAGTGAAAAATGAAAATTACTTATCTAGTCACCATAAAAATGGCTATATTTTCTAAAATATTGATTTTTGGAAAAAATTATGAGTTCAATGCTATAACTTAATAAATTTCCTATAAAAAATGTTATTATACTATGGAGCTATCTTTAATATTTTCGGAGATACAGTATTTTTTAATGCTTATTATCTAATGACTGTAAAAATGACCATAACTTTTATAATAATTATTTTATAAACAATAAAATAAAATGAATTGATTTTTTTTTTTCAGCAACAATGCGAGTACACCAAGATTTCTTCACCTACCAAAGCGGTATTTACAAGCACTCAAACTTAGACAATAATTATCCTTCTGGTTATCATTCGGTTAGAATATTGGGGTGGGGTGAAGAACTCGTCGGAAATTACCAACCAACTAAATATTGGGTAAGTTTAAAAACAAACTCTGCATAAATTATCAATCACTAATGATTGAATAATTAATTATTAATAAAAATTATTTTAGCTCGTTGCCAATTCCTGGGGAACAAATTGGGGCGAAAACGGAGTCTTCAGAATCGTGAAAGGAACGAACGAATGTGAAATAGAAACCTATGTCCTGGGTATATGGGCAAAAACAATGTAGCCAAAGTAACTTAACCTAATGTAATAAATAATATTAATTAATTAATTAAATAAAAATATAATATAATAAAGCACGGTCTCACGCGCTTCGCGCGATGAGGCGTGCAAAAGAGAAATATGTATAATATAAAAGTAATGAAAGCATTTAATGAATCTCTTGTTAAATTGATCATTAATTATTATTCATAAAAGAAAAAAAAAATATGAATAATAATTAAAGTTTGTCGATTAAATAAAAGAGATGTGTGATTGTGTATCGCGTGTATTTTATAAAACGTGTGTTAATTATTTATGTAGATTACTGATTGTATGTATCATAAATGTATTAACTAATGATTAAACCGAGATCTAATAAATTTATAATTTGTTATCGCTGTATTAATTTAAAAAATAAAAAATTTTTAAACGTAAAAAAATTGATTAAAATCCTTGATTTAATTTAAGGTAAAAGACCCCATTATTGACACCAATTAGACCCTTGCAATTTTTTATTTCAATTAAAAAAAAAATCAACTCATAATAAATTAATAAATATTAGCAACCTTGCAGTCACTATGTCACTGTCGTGACTTCTGAATTATAAATAGATAAAATTTTACTTTACTAATTAATGACTTGTTTTAAATTGCACTGTACTTTCTTAAATATGGACGTTTTTAAAGATATAAGCTCATACCGATGTTACACTCATCAAGAGCTTTCATTTGAGTACCCACATGCATTTTTGATATATTTTATATATTTATATATATGTAGATATGAAAAATATATCAAAAAATGCAAGTAGGTACTCAAATGAAAGGTCTCGATGAGTGTAATATCAAGGTGAGCTTATATCTTTAAAAATGTCAATAGTTCACAAGATACAAGGTCATTTCTTAATTATCGACATTTTTTAAGATATAAGCTCATCTTGATGTTACACTCATCGAGACCTTTCATTTGAATACCCACATGGCATTTTCTATATATTTTATATATATGGTATTTGTGAAATATACATAATATATAAAATATATGAAAAATTGATGTGGGTTACCTGAAAAAAATATCCATTTATTTTCAATGAAACTAAATTAATCATTCAAAACAAAAATGATGATATTTTTCTATTTATATAAATGAAAATTCCATGATTGATATAACTTCCTTGGATGTCTGAAAACAACAATTAAAAATTGATCTTGAATTTTCTCAATGTATTATTCTAGCTCTAAAAAACAAATTTTATTTTTCAGGAACGTGTTGGCCGTCGGTGTGGAGGTTTGAGAGTTCTCAACAGCTACTGGGTGGCCCAAGATTCTTCCCACAAATTCTACGAAGTTATCCTTATTGACCCATTCCATCCGGTAAATATCAGTCTTAATAATTTTATTTATTTCTTCAAATAATAAATGAATGACGAATCGCATGTCAAAAGGGGAGGTCCTGAATTAATGACGGAAAAAAAAAACAGAATCAAAACTTATTAAAAAATCAAAATCATCCACAAAAGAATTTGATAATTAACAAAACTATATAATTTTTAGGCAATCCGCAACGACCCTAAGATAAACTGGCTCTGCAAGCCAGTCCACAAACACCGTGAGCTCCGCGGCAAGACCTCAGCTGGTAAAAGCTCCCGCGGTCTTGGCAAAGGACATCGGTACTCTCAGACAATCGGTGGGTCCCGACGTGCTGCTTGGCTCAGAAGGAACTCGCTTTCTTTACGCAGAAAACGATAATAAGTTAAACACTGATGCGAATGTGATGTCGATAAATATAATTGAGAAATTAAAAACAGTTGAAATAATTTTTTTAATAAAAACCATTCCATCGGTATCGTATTTTTTTTTTTTTTTATTTTATTTAAGTGAAAGACCCAGTTATTGACTCTGGCCTAGTTGTTCGACACTTGCAATTCTATTCTAATTAAAAAAATAAAATGTTCTCAAAAAAAAAACAATTATATCGAAATTTATAATTTAAAAATTATCTATATTATTAAGAGAATAAGCAAAATTTTGTGGCCAAGGTAGTCACTTGATAAAATCGGTTTTTGTAATGAAATTTAGTGCCTCTGCAAAGGTCTTGACTTGAATTTGTATCTTTTAAAGGTTTTATATTCTCACCAATAGTCAATTTATTATAAGTATTTAGGCTGCATTGGAAAATGCTCTATCTCTAGATACGTAATTAAGAAATGACTTAAGATCTTTTGAACTATTAACATTTTTGTAGATATAAGCCCATCCCGATGTTACACTCTTCGAGACCTTTCATTTGAGTACCCACATCAATTTTTCATATATTTATATATATGTATATATGAAAAATATGTCAAAATGGATGTGGGTACTCAAATGAAAGGTCTCGAAGAGTGTAACATCGGGATGGGCTTATATCTACAAAAATGTTAATAGTTCAAAAGATCTTAAGTCATTTCTTAATTACGTATCTAGAGATAGAGCATTTTCCAATGCAGCCTAAATACTTATAATAAATTGACTATTGGTGAGAATATAAAACCTTTAAAAGATACAAATTCAAGTCAAGACCTTTGCAGAGGCACTAAATTTCATTACAAAAACCGATTTTATCAAGTGACTACCTTGGCCACAAAATTTTGCTTATTCTCTTAATAATATAGATAATTTTTAAATTATAAATTTCGATATAATTGTTTTTTTTTTGAGAACATTTTATTTTTTTAATTAGAATAGAATTGCAAGTGTCGAACAACTAGGCCAGAGTCAATAACTGGGTCTTTCACTTAAATAAAATAAAAAAAAAAAAAATACGATACCGATGGAATGGTTTTTATTAAAAAAATTATTTCAACTGTTTTTAATTTCTCAATTATATTTATCGACATCACATTCGCATCAGTGTTTAACTTATTATCGTTTTCTGCGTAAAGAAAGCGAGTTCCTTCTGAGCCAAGCAGCACGTCGGGACCCACCGATTGTCTGAGAGTACCGATGTCCTTTGCCAAGACCGCGGGAGCTTTTACCAGCTGAGGTCTTGCCGCGGAGCTCACGGTGTTTGTGGACTGGCTTGCAGAGCCAGTTTATCTTAGGGTCGTTGCGGATTGCCTAAAAATTATATAGTTTTGTTAATTATCAAATTCTTTTGTGGATGATTTTGATTTTTTAATAAGTTTTGATTCTGTTTTTTTTTTCCGTCATTAATTCAGGACCTCCCCTTTTGACATGCGATTCGTCATTCATTTATTATTTGAAGAAATAAATAAAATTATTAAGACTGATATTTACCGGATGGAATGGGTCAATAAGGATAACTTCGTAGAATTTGTGGGAAGAATCTTGGGCCACCCAGTAGCTGTTGAGAACTCTCAAACCTCCACACCGACGGCCAACACGTTCCTGAAAAATAAAATTTGTTTTTTAGAGCTAGAATAATACATTGAGAAAATTCAAGATCAATTTTTAATTGTTGTTTTCAGACATCCAAGGAAGTTATATCAATCATGGAATTTTCATTTATATAAATAGAAAAATATCATCATTTTTGTTTTGAATGATTAATTTAGTTTCATTGAAAATAAATGGATATTTTTTTCAGGTAATGTAGAATTTTGTAAATGACTAAACAAAAAAAAACTAAAATACTGAATTATTTTTTTTAGAAGAATTTATAATGAAACGTATTAATTCTGTAAATGATTAAGATAAAATTTAACAGTACAAAAAAATTTTTTAAGTTGATTGAAAAAATTAAAAATTCTTTTTGACGTAAATTTAGAATAAAAAATTTAGATAATTATTCACAAGTGGAGTCAAACCTATTTTTGACCATGAAAGATAGATAAATTAATAAATCATCATAATTTTTTTCAACTACTTTGTTTTTATGGCGGACTTATGGTGGTGATATCGAAAATATCAAAAAATTAATATTTCAATTAAAAAATCATCTTTGAAAATTGGAAAAAATTTTGGCTCTCATGTTTTTGGATAAAATTTCTATTTTATCATATATATATTTGAAGAACATAAAAAACGAACAGTTAAAAAAAGAAAGTTGAATATATTATATTTTGAAGAACATAAAAAAAACGAACAGTTAAAAAAAAGAAAGTTGAATTTTAGAATTTTCTAAAAAATTTATAAATTTTTTTGAAAATTTGTTAAAATTGTGATGATCAACTTTTTTTTTTTGACTGTTCATTTTTTTATCTGTTTTTTGAAAAAAAGAAAAGAAAATATATCAATAAAGTTAAATAAAAATTTCGTTCAAATAAATGAAAATTAAAATTGTTGACTCTATATGTAAATATTAACCATAAAATTTAACAGTACAAAAAAATTTTTTTGACTATTTTTTAAACTAATTGAAAAAAATTTTAGATTTTTTTTTTTGACGTAAATTAAGAAGAAAAAATTTAATGCGACAATAAAATTTTTAAACAAACTAAAAATTTAGATTATAAATGATTATCAATAAAATTATTGAACTTTTAAAAACTTAAAAAAATTATGAACAGAAAAATTAGCTAACTACTTTTCTAAAAAATTTTTTAAATTACTCTATTAAAAAAAAAAATACTAAGTGCATATTTAAATATTATTTTTTTCAAGATAATTGTTATAAAATAGTCAATTAAATTTCTAAAAAAATATTCAAGTTATTTCAATAATAACTAAATAACTAAATTTGTTGATTGCATTTAAATAAAATAATTTTTCTTTAAATTACCTCAGCAACAGATTGAAGTTTACGGGATGGTTTCAACTCGTTAACTCCATGGCTCTTGGGTTTACCGAAGGTAGCTCCCTTGGGTACTGGGCGCTTTCTACCTCCACGACGTACCCGAATACGGTAGATAACAAAGCCTGTAAAAATAAAAATAATTAAAAATTTATGCAACAAAAAAAATTGTTTTTATGTTTTTAATTAATAAAATAAAAAATCAGCTCGACATAATCTTCATCCTTCTGTGAGAGTGGTGCATGTACGAATCATCATTTTAGAAATTAATATTAATTAAAAAATAATATAAGAATAAAAATTGATGAATAATAAAGAAACATACCTTGTTTGGCTTTGTATCCTAGACGACGTGCCTTGTCAGGACGAGATGGTCTTGGGGCACGGTGCAATTTTGTCAATTGACGGTATTGCCAGCAGCGAACGCGGAGCAAGAACCGCATAACATCGCTCTGCTTTTTGCGGTACAACTCAGTGATATAATTGTAAGCTCCCATCGTGACTACCTAAAAGAAAAATTAAATCAATTAGATTTTAATTTGGAGCCTGCTTAGCAAGTCGCATAAACAAAGTATGCATGGTCTGGACCGCAATTGAGGTTAGGCCGACAATTATTTAATTATTTTGGTGAAATTTAATCCGCGAGTGAAAATTATCACTGGAATTTGTGGATTAGACACTTGTTTTTAGTATTGATAAGAGTTTTTATTGTTTGTAAGCCGATTGCAATTATTTTGGCGGATTATTAAAAAAATAAAACTCACCCAACACGATACGTACTCAGAGCTAAAGTCTAAAAGAAATTCTAGGCTATGTTTTATTTTGCTTGTGTTCTTTTGAGTTAGATGGCTAATGGAGATCTCACCAGGTGGCGCTTTAGTTTATTATTTTGGCCGCTGTTTACTGGCGCTGTCTAAGAATTATTTTAGAGGGAAATTTTTAAATGTTTAAAAAATTTTATTTTATTTAATAAACAAAATTACAAAATTAAAATTAATTTTTTAAAATAAAAATTCACTTACTAGAATTATTTCTATAAATATAAAATCACTTACCAAATTTATTTTTTAAAATGTCACTTTATTATTTCACTAAAACTTTTTAAAAAAACTGAAAAGTTTCGTATGAAAATTAATTTAGCAGATGTTTTATAATTTTTTTTAAGAAATAAATTATGTTAAATTAGCAATAAAAAAATATTTTGAAAAAAATGCACGTATAGTTTTTCAAATTTTTTACATGTGCAATTTTTTCTTTTGAATTTTTTTTGATAATTTCATTAACAAAAAAAATTCTGCTAATTTTATTTTCATTAAAGAAAATGAGAAAAAAAAATTGACTTTTAAAAATTTTAAAAAAATAAAAATTACAATTTTTTATAGATAATTTTTCAGAGCAAATTTATTTATTAAAAAAAATTGAAAAATGGTCAACCGACTGCTAATAAAATTTAGAACTTTATCAATATTTTGTGAGTCATTAAATATTCTCATTACTTTTATTTATATGTGAAAAAAAAAAAAAAATTAACAAACCTTGGCAGAGAAAAAATATGCAGAAGGGTAAACACTTTCTTAATTAATCCAAGTGTTTTAATTAATCAGCTAACATTTCATCACTTAACTGCTATTTCTCTACCAGACGATGCCAGTTGATAGAATTGAGCTGCTGGATTGACGAAAAAGTCTGAATTACTTTCCTTGCTTGCAGTTGACAGCTGATAAACTTTTTTCACACAAAACACTTGATAACACTCAAATTAACACACTTGATTACTTTCTGATTTTATTTGATCAATATATTTAGAAAATTATTTTTAGAAATTGCACTTGTACTTTTTTAAAATTGTTGTTGAATTTTTTGTACTTTTATTTGTTCAAAAAATGATACTGAAATTATGAAACTTTTGACAGCTTTTTTTTAAATTTAATTTGAATAAAAAAAAATATTTTTAGAAAATTATACTTAGTTCTTCGAACCTACATGTAGAATTTTTATTCTAATTTTTGTAATAAAAAAAAATGACATTAAAGTTAGCAGTCACTTAACCATTTTTCAATTTTTTCTAACAAATAGATTTTTTCCAAAAAATTATTTCTAACATATTGCATTTTTTAGTTTTTTAAATTTCTACATGTCAATTTTTTTTTCTACTTTTTTTTTGCCGTAATTTATTTGTTAAAAAAATTCTTAAAATTATCAAATATCTGCTAAATTAATTTTCATTAAAAAAAAATTATAAAAATTATCGTGAGCTAGATTAGCCGCCATTTTTTAACGCTTAGTAATAAAAAATGGCGGGCGGCTAAGTTCTAGCGCACAAAATAAAAAAATTGTCAATTGTCTGTTAATTTCAATAAGTATCATTTAAAAAAAAATTATAAAAATGATCAGATATATCTCAATTTTACTATCACAACACTTGACACTTGACACTTCACTCAGAATCACTTTCTCAATACAAAACACTCGACATTTTATTCAAACTCATTTTTCACACGCAAAAAGTAAAAAACTTAATAAATCAAACTACTTGTTTTCTTAATTTTAAATTATTAATTAAATTAACAACAATTAGAATCTAAATACTCTGATAATTTAATGTAAAATATTAAAACACAACAATTAAAGAAAGAAGCGTACGCGACGCGCACGGAAAGGTGTTTTACTTGTTGAGTTGCTGAGTCGAGACTGCAGAAACCGTTTGTAACGTCTTTCATCCCCACTCCGCTTCTAGTGATTTCAGCGCTCTGATTGGCTGGTTCTCTCGTGATTCTATTCTAACAAATAAAAATTATTTTCTTAATTTATTTAAAAAAATTTTTTAATTTTCTTATAATAATAGTGTTTAGCATAAATAATTTATTAAATTTAACTAAAATTATAATTATAAAAAATAGTTTAAGTGTTTTTATAATTAAAAGTTATTTATATAGAAATAATATATTAAATTTAATGAATAACTAGTGACGATTTTTTTTATTTGTTAAATTATAGCTAGAATATTTTTAAAAAATTGCTTTTTCATTTTTTTTATTTTTTACTTGTAGAATTTTCTTTTCAATTTATTATAACAGTTTTTAACAATAATTGATAAAAAAATTGGGATTTTTAATAATTTTAGTTCAACTATTTTTTTTTAATTAAAAAAAAAAAAAACAGATTTATTTTAGATCATTTATTTTATTAAAATTTTTTCAGCTACATTAATTTCATATTTTTACTCATTTCCTTGAGTATATTTTTGATCCAATCCTCGAAGAGTTTCTGCATCTCTCCGCAGTAGGTACCCTGTAGCAGAAAAGTTAAATAATAAAACACTGAATGAAAAAATGAAAAAGAATAAAATTAGATTATTAAATTAAAATCAGCTCGACATAATCTCCATTATTTCGTAAGAGTGGTGCATGTACGAATCATCATTTGCAAGTATTGATAAAAATTAAATTCCAATTGTTGATAATTACCTCTTCAACTTCAAGTGAAGACTTTAAGTAAATAAAAGTTACTTCTTCGGCTTGAAGTGTCCATAACTTGGAATTTCAGAATATCAATCAGCTCATGCCTGAAATAAAAAATCTTTCATAAATATGAGTTCTTATAAATAGTGAAATATTTAAATTATATTTGAAAATTTTCAGACATCCAAGGAAGTTATGTTAACCACAGAAAATCTTTAAAAATAAAAGATATCATCATTTAGTTTTTTGTAATTATTAAAATTAATTTTATAAATATTTTAAAAAAATTTCACTTATAAAAAATTTACAAAAATTATGAATGCAAATTTTTAAATATCATTTTTTTTTTTTTTAATTTATTTATAAAAACTTCTAAATGTCTGCTAATTAAAATACAATATAAATTTTACCATTGTAAAGTTCAAAGTTCAAGTTCCTGGGTACTGGAATTTCATTTTATGGCAATCCATGCTCATCCAAATGAATGAAATCTGTAAATTATTTTTAACAATTAATAAATTAATAAAAATAAATATTAAAAACTTAAAAAATAAATTTTTTTTATTAAATATAAATCAGTTTTACATAATCTCCATTATTTAGTAAGAGTGGTGCATGTACGAATCATCATATTAATATTCTTACAAATTAAAATTAACTTTAATAATTTAACTACATAAATTTATTAAATTTGTAAATTTAGACTATGAATATTTTATAAAAAAAATTATTTTAAATTATAAGATTGAGATTATTCAAGAAGATTAATTATTTTCAATAAAATTTTACTCACCATGATGATCTCCTGCTTGTGCTGGAACTCGATGAGAAGTTGAAATAAGAAATGAAAAACGTGAGGAATTTTTTATCAATGTGAAAAACAAAAATATGTCTTTAAAATGTCGGCTTATGACCATCCGAGTTATATTTATCGGCTAAAAGATTTCTTCTTTTATCACTGTCATCCCTAACCTAATCTGACAAAAAAAAATGTAAATTAGTCATTTGTCATTTATCATGTTGATAATTTTATAAACGAAACAATACCACACCTATTATTGACACAATAATAAATAAATTAAATTAAAACAATAAAAATAAAATAAAAACTTACTTTGGTGAAGTGTAAAAAGTAAAAATGCCGGTAAGTCAAAAATTTTCACTCCAAATTATTTTAATAAATAAATAAAATATTTATTAAATTAAAATGTAAATATTTTTTTAGGCTTATCACTCAAGTTTCACTAAAAGTGACAAATTACTGGGTAATATGGCCATGCTGCCATTGAAGACGACTTTTAGAGGTCCAGCTCCGGTTTGTCCTCCTGATACCGAGCTTGATATCATCGACGAAGCTCTTTATTTTTTCAAAGCTAATGTCTTTTTTAGAACGTATGAAATCAAGGTACTTTTCTATGACATTAAAGTTACCCGTCATTTGACAATTTTTTAACTTTGTTTAACAAAAAAATTTGTTCCAAAAAATTATTTTAAAAAAAATTGCATTTTTAATTTTTTTAAATTTGTACATGTAAATTTTTTTTTAATCATTTTTTTTCTTATCAATTTATTTGTTATAAGAATTTTAAAAATTATCAAATATCTGCTTAATTAATTTTTTTGTTATCAAAGTTGTTGAAATTTTTTTTTTCTTTAAAATTAACTGGAAAAAAATTTAACAGTTTTTTAATTTTCAGAACGAAGCTGACAGATTGCTTATTTACATAACTTTATATATCACGGAATGCTTGAAACGTTTGCAAAAATGTGCTACACATAATCAAGCGCTGACAGAGATGTACTCGCTAGCGATATCTAAGTTTGATATTCCCGGTGATCCTGGATTTCCATTAAATTCTGTCTATGCTAAACCAGAGACTTCTGATGAAGCCGGTAAATATTTATAATAATTAGGATCGCGCTAAAAAACCTACTATATTTTTTCTATTAAAATATATTTATAATGTTTTAAAAATCCATAATAAAGTTAGCCGACATTTTTGATTTTTTTTTTGCTTCGTTTATTAAATTAGAACGAAAAAAATTTTTTTTTTAATTGCGCTTACAGTTTTTCAAATTTTCTCCACGTCAAATTTTATTTTTTTATTTTATATAATGTTTTTTTCCAATAAAAAAAATTGTAAAAACTTTTAAATGTCGGTTAATTTAATTTTCATTAAAAATCCTGGACATAGATCAGAACTACAATTTTTTAAGGCTACCTCAAGATTTTTAAAAGTTCAGACTCAAAAATTGAATTTTTCAATTTTTTTACCGTCTGTCTATTTTGTAGAACTAAAATTTGAACTTCTTATTTATAGAAGTCAATAAAGATTGTTTAAAACTTTCTTCAGATGTCGGATAAATATTTTTAAATTAACAATTCAGTAGTAATTATTGTTTTTTTTTTTTCAGACTTTTTATTTCTTTGGTAGTTTATGTTTATTTAGTGTGTAAATTTTATAAAAACAAACATTTAAAGTTTGTTCATATTATATTGACAAATATTATATTTGGAAGTTTTAAAAATCTTGAGCGAGTCCTGAAACAATTTTTTATCGAGTTGATTTTTGTCGAGGATTTTTAAAACATTATGAAATAATATATTTTAACTGATAAAAAAATTTATTTAATTAAAGAAAAAAAATCCTTGAGCCAAGAACAATTTTTCTGATTAAAAATAATAAAATTTTTTTTTTTGCATTGTTAATTTTTTTTTATCAGTGTATTTTTATGTATCAAATACTTTATTAATATTTTTATAAATTACTTAAATAATACTAAAAATTTTCAGATAAAATGAGACAATATTTACAACAAATTCGCCAAGAAACTGCAGCAAGACTTGTCGAAAAAGTATACAGCGACAATGGCAAGCCAAGCAAATGGTGGTTGTGTTTCGCCAAGAAGAAATTCATGGACAAGTCTCTCTCCGGACCTGGTCAATAAATTTGTTGCTAATTAATTAATAATCCCAATTAATTAATTAATTAATTAATTAATTTTCTTATTTTTAATATTAAAGTTTCTTTACAAAAGTACTGTAACTATAACTGCCAGTTCCTCGTAAACTGAACATTAAATATACAGTATAAATTTAAAGTCTGTTTATGCTTTCTTCCAATAATCAGCACTCAGATTTTAGGAAGTCGGTAGAGCCCTCCAGAGTAAAGCAGTTGATGTTCGCGAACTTTCTTATCTAGGAACTGCCTCAACTCTGGCAATCCACACTCGACAGCACCCGGTCCTTGGGACGCGAACATCTTCAGCATCTGGTGGATCCTCTCCAGTGGCATGGAATCCAAATTAGTGAGCATTCCGACAATGTAAGACCAAAAAACTTGAAGCTCTTCTTCCCGCTGGTCGCTAGCTGAAGCCATCGCGCTCTCGACCTCTTCTTCCTCGATCACTTCAGAGATCACTCGGTTTTTGTTCGAGCTTTCTTCTTGGAGGTGGAACACGTCTGTTGATGTTTGCTTTAAAAGGCCTTGGGACACCCAGAAAGTTATTTTCCGGCGGATTACTGTCGCTGGTATGTGCATCGCTTCTGATAATTCGTCGATGGTCCATTCGTCTGGAAAATTTAGTAATTGTTGATAAATTTAAGAAAATAATCATTTTATAATAGTTTAAGTTGAAATTCTAGATAAATGATAATATAAGAGATAAAGAGAAATTGAAGGACCTTTTTTCCAGAGAATAAAATTAAAAAATTTTCTCAATTCATTTTTGGGATTTAAGAATCAATTTTTGATTTTTAAAAAGAAATTTTTTTTTCGTAAATTTTTACAAAATTACAATCATAATTAAAATTTGTGATTATTTTTAATAATCATAATTGAAATAAAATCAATTTTTAATACGATTGAAATTGCATTTGAAATTGAATTTTCGCCAAATGATAAAAGGTAGGTAAAAATTGATAAAGACCTTTTTTTGTAAAGGATTAAATTTTTTTTTTTTTTTTTTTTTTTTTTTTCGATTACAACTATTTAAAAAAAAATGCCGCGAAATTTTCGCCAAATATTTTAATTTTTCATAAAAACCTCTTCCAAAAATTAAATTTTCATTTTTTTTTCCTTCATCCAAGCTCTAGCTTAAAGTCTTAACTAAAGCACGTATTTTTTATTTTTCAATTTAAATGATCTTGCTAGGGGTTCTGCTATCAACACAGACTCGCCAGAAATGACGTCACAATGGCAGAGTTTTGAATATTTTTTTTCAAAAATTTCAGTAATCCGTTATTAAATATGTATCTTTACGACAGTAAAAAGTTTGAATTAAATATTTTATTTTTTATATTAAAAAAAAATTGTTAAAAATAGGCCATTTTTTCCCCGGAGGAAACCCATGCAACCCCTTAAGGTGATTCAGCTTTATAAAATTAATTAAAAACTTACTTTTATCTTGAAACAACACAATAATAGTCGCATGAATAGGAGCGACATTAAGATCAAGCTTCCGATCCTTCAATTCAATTTCCAAGTGAACATTTCCCAAATGTGGCTTCCAGCTAAGAGTCCTGTTGCCCTTAAGGGTCTCATAAGCCTTGACATATTTATCCAGCTGGTCTTGAACGAACTTAGGCAGCTGAAGTTTCCACTCTTCTTTAAACGGCGGCCAAAACTGCGCGGACAAGATCAGCGCCGAAGTGTCAAACGCAGATTTCTCCGCGGTGTAATTGACATTCGACTGAATCAACCCGTCGATGCGCTTCGAGTCATAAATATCCTTAAGCATAACTTCACAGAAGTGTAATTGATTCTCTCCAAAGCGGCGTTTCAGCAGCTCGAGGTGCCTGACCTCGCGCTCTGTGTGATAATTCAGCTGAGAGAGTAATCTGTCTGCTAATTGGGTCCTGTATTCGTTAACAAAAAGGTCCTGGCTTCCGTAGACGTTCACCAGCATAGAAATTATATCTGACATCCGTCTTTGGTTTGATTTTGCTGTGAATAATTTAGTAAATTAATTAATCTTTATTAATTAGTTAATCTTTATTAATTAAATTAATCTAATTTATTTAATAAATTAATTAGACTTTGGGACATCACATAAATAATCGGAAATTTTCAAATAGTGAATTTAAAAATTTTTGAAATACTTCTAAGATAATTTTAGAATTAACACGTATTATTTTAAACAATTTAGTTAAAATTTTGTCTTTAAAATCCTATGTTGAACATTTTTTAGTATGAAATATTAAATATTAATTCAAGCCAATAAAAAGTTTTCAAAATTATTTTTTTGGATCAAAAATTTTTTTATTGTTTCAAGATAATTTTTTTTCTAGTGTATAAACTGTCAAAGGTTTTAAATTAAATTGTAATAGTTGCTAGTCTCAAAATGATTTTTTTTTTTTTGGTTAAGATTTGTCTCTAGATTCAAATTAACTTTTTTATCACGATAACTATAAAATAAATTACCAGGATCAGCATCAACAGGATCAGGCATCCATTTTTCCCAGTCTTCACTCTCTTCATCAGCAGACCCATCGTCCAGCTGGAGAGGTTCTCCTTTTACTAACTCATCTGCGAGATCACTTGGAAAATCATCCAGCAGTCCGCTGACTACGCACCGAACAGTGTCACTACGACTGCGTAAATAAGACTTTATTGGCTCTGACACTGTTTCTAGTAAAACTCCAGTAGGGTCTAGTTGACGAAGCGCTTTTATTGCTGCGATGTATGCCGTTAATACATCAGGAGTGTTGACACCTGCGTGGAGCAATCGGTTTTTTAAAGCTGTTTGTAAGTTTACAACCAAGGCTTTTTGGAGATCTGTTCGTTCTAGGCATAAACGCAAGTCGTCGATTGCTGGCTGTGAGTCTGGGTATTCTGAAAATTTTTATTGTTTATTAATAAATTTTAATAATAGTAATTTTAATAATTTCTTCCTAACATTATTTTGCTTTGTATCTGCTTCACTATCAACATTTTTGAAGATATAAGCTCATCATGATGTTACACTCATCAAGAGCTTTCATTTGAGTACCCACATGCATTTTTGATATATATTTTTCATATATACATATATATAATATATATTTTAAAAATATAAGCTCATCCCGATGTTATACTTATCAAGAGCTTTCATTTGAGTACCCACATGCATTTTTGATATATTTTTCATATATACATATATTATATATATATATAAATATATAAATATACGAAAAAACCATGTGGGTATTCAAATTAAAGGTCTCAGTTAGTGTAACATCATGATGAGCTTATATCTTCAAAAATGTCGATATTTAAGAAGATACAAGACGAAATAACAAGATATAAGCTCACCATGATGTTACACTGATCGAGACCTTTAATTTGAGTACCCACATAAATTTTTGATATATTTTATATATCTTGTGATTTCGCCTTCTACCTTCTTAAATATCAATATTTTTAAAAATATAAGCTCGTAATAATGTTAGGTTAATTGAGACCTTTTATTTGAGTACCCACATGACTTTTTTGTATATTTATATATGACACATATATCCCAAATACATATATTTATATATACAAAATATACGAAAAAGTCATGTGGGTACTCGAATGAAAGGTCTCGATTAGTGTAACATCATGATGAGCTTAAATCAAAAATAATAAATAAAGGCAAAGATAATTATTTCTGAATTATAATTTTGTTCATGTCTCTTAAGTATATAAAATTATTATCAACATTTTACTTACCAATTATTATATCAAATAATTGTTCGATTCTGATCTTTGTGTAAGTTTCATATAAATAGTGAGATAATTTTCTTTTGAATTTTAATATTGCTTCACGGATATTTTCACTTAGCGTTTCTGTCTTTGATGAACCGCCTGAGTAAATTCTGGTCAACCAGCTCATTACTACTGTTTCCAGCCACTGTAATATTTATGTTATTAAATATTAAATATTAATACTACAAATAATATCAAATGTATTTACTAAAATATGCTTGAAAAAATTAATAAATTATTTTTACAAAAACAAAAATTTTGATTTTCTGCAAAAAAATAATTTTTTTTTTTAATCACTATTAAATTGAACGGTATTTTAAGATTTCTTTTCAATAAATTATTATAAAAAAATTTTTTTTAAATTTTGCCTACATTTTTTTTAGTCCTAATTTATTTCACTACAAATTCAAAAATTTTTTTTTAATTTTATTAAAAATAATATAATTAAAAAAAAATATTTTTAAATGTCTTGATTTTTCTACAGGAAAAAAATTTGAATTTTCTCTAATATTTTTAAATTTTCTAGCCAATAAAAAAAAATTCAAAGAATTTTACAATTATTAATTTAATTTTATTTTATCAATTTAAAATAAATATTAAATCTATTTTTTTAATTTTATTTAATATTAACTTCAAATATCAAGTGTATTATTTTATTAAAAAAAAATTTCTAAAATAAACAAATCGATAAATTATTAAGAGAGGTCAACTAAGAATAATAAAAATAAAACTAATAATAGTAGACAAACAATAAATAATAAATTAAATAATTATAATTACTTACATTATCAAGCGCATTAAGCTGAGAAACATCAAATAATTTATCACACATCTGATGTACATGCTCTTTAATCCTAATGTGAATTAAAGATGTCAGTACATTGCCGACTAATCTCTCAAGTAACTCCAATTCCATCAATTTTCTATTAGTCTCGTGGAATATAAATACGATGGACTGGCACTCGCAATTATCCAAGTCTTTGCTGCAACCGCGACACTCTACCGCGTCATCGTTTGAATCTGAAATAATCCAGACAAATAAATAAGTAAGTGAGTAAATAAATTAATACATTAAATAAAAATTACTCACCAGCGTCAGTGTTGCAGAAGACATTAAAAGCAACCTTATAAAACAACTCGATGATAGTTTCATGAGCCAGCGGCAGTTGATTAGACAGAGTGGCTCGTAACAGCAATTTGAATTGAGCTAGATGATTAGGTTCTCCGTACAACAAGTAATTAGAGGTTGTAAGTTCTTCTAGTCGCTTTAGCAATGGCAAGAATTCTATCGAGTCGGTGTACAGATTGTCGACTGCGGTTTTGAACCGCTCGAACCCATATTTCTCGATGTCATCGTCGCTGTCCAGTGACTGGAACTCGTGCCAAAATTTGGGAGCTATCTTCTCACGGATGTGGCGTTTTATTTCTTTTAAGACTAGTTCTTTCACTTGGTAAAATATATTCTGGGACTCTAGCTCTTTTGATATTGCTAGGAATTCTTCGTCTGTGCAGTCTGAGTGGATCTAGAAAATTTTTTAATTATTAGTAATTTTATAATAAATTATTTTATTATTAACTTAATAATTTTTGCCTATAAAAAAGGTCGTTATCAATTTTTTTGTAGCTCTTATCATTTAAATTTTAAATCCGAGTTTAGTTTAATTTATTTTTAATGCCAAGGCACAGGCCAAATGGTAAATTTTACAAACATAATTTAATAACAAAAAAGTATGATTTTCTAAAAAGTTAATGGAAAAAGTAAATACATTGTACAGTTATTTAGTTTTATCGTTTGAGAGTGATTGACTAAATAATTTGTTTAGAAAATTTAGGATACTAATTCTGGGTTGAATATCGAAGATATGAAATAATTATAAGAAATTTTTTTTGTAGGAAATTTAATTCTCTATTAAAAAAACCATTATCAATTTTTCCCTATCTCTTGTCATTTAGCTAGAATTTGAATTAAAAATTAGATTTTAAGTTTTTTTTTTTGATAATACTATGACTTAGAAAATTTTAAATTAAAATTTTGGGTTAAATATTGAAAATATCAAAAAATGATAAGAGAACTGTTCCTATTTTATAGAAAATTTAATTTAATCTCAAAAAGGTCACAATAATAAGACCTTTAGCCACAATAATAAATTAAACTAAATTATATTAAAGTATTGAACAATTACTAAAAACAGTTTTTTTTTTTTATTTTAATTTATGAAAATTAATTTAATAGATATTTGATGATTTTAAGAATTTCTTCCACAAACAAATTAAGGCGAAACAAATAGAAAAAAAAATTGACATGTAGAAATTTAAAAAAATAAAAAATGCAATTTTTTTAAAATAATTTTTGGAAAAAATTTATTTGTTAAAAAAAATTAAAAGAAGATTCCGTGACTGCTAACTTTAATGTCATTTTTTAATATCATCTTTTTGATAAATTAAAAATATAATTTTTACGAGTTAAATTATTGCAGATCGTGAAACTAAAAAATTACCAAATAAATTATAACTAAAATATTGCATCAAAAATTTTTACCCATAGAATTTTATTTTTAAACCATTCCAATATTTATGAGATTAAAGTTACCAGTCAATTGACAAGTTTTGAATTTTTTTTAACAAACAAATTTGTTCCAAAAAATTATTTTTTTAACAATTGCATTTTTTATTTTTTAAAATTTCTACATGTCAATTTTTTCTTCTAATTTATCTGTCAAAAAAATTCTAAAAATAAAAAAATCTGTCAATTCCAAAACCTATCATAACAAATAATTAAAAAACTTAATTTTCTTACCTGTCCATTGAGAATAGGAAAAGCATAAATAATCTTGTCAACAATTTCATTGCATCCATATAAATCAGCCATCATTAAATCTCAAAATTCCATGAATGTAAATAATAAATAAATAAACATAGACAGCTCCCATTCATATATTTACATAATAAACTCCACTGTTTATCAGAGAAGTCGGCATAACCTCAAAGTAGTCTTAAAAAATAAGGTCAGTTTTCATAAAAAATTTTTACCCGTACAATTTAAGTGTTGTAAATTAAAATTAAAAAATTTAATTAATTTCACTCTAAAAACTCGCAATTATTTTAAAAATAAAAAATGAAAATTAAGTTAGCTATTCAAAAACTTTTATAATTTTTTTTATTAAAAAAAATTTTTTATGAAAATTAATTTAGCAGATATATTAAATAACTTTAATCATTTTTCTAATAAATAAATTATGGCAAAAAAAAATTATAAAAAAAAATTGACATTTAGAAAATTAAATAAATAAAATTAAAACATTATCAAGTGACTGCTAACTTTAAAGTCATTATTATAAAAAAAAAATACTTACCCAAAAAATTTTTCCACTTTCCAAAATCCACTCAAACAATTTTAAAATGAAAAAAAAAAACTTAAAAATTCAAAATTCCCGCCAAAACATTTCAAGCCGCCAGATGTCACTTAACTTCAAAATGGCGAAGGAAACAACAAGTGACAACGCGACTGAGTGTGCACAGACTACCGAGTGTCTTTAACTCCGTTTTTTTTATTTTTTTTTAGTTTCTACATTCTATATCAGTATATTTATTTACTAAAATTCATACAAATGTCATCGGCTTCTAGTTTTGAGTAAACGTCAAAAACCAACCATCAAATTACCAAGAATTTATAGAACATCTACTTGATATTTTCCAAGTACACTTTGAAACTGCAATTGTTGGTATATACCAGAAACGGTGAGTCACATTGTGATGCGAGTGATCAAGACTAAGGTCTTCGCTAATAAACGAGGTTAATTGACGATTATTTAACCGCTGACAATTATTGGGCGTATGTCTGTATGAATGCGTTTAAAACTAGTATTAGTAAATTTATATATATTTATTGAGGAATATATGCAAGTTTTGTATGTATATGTGCTTGTGTATTTAAGCGTACACATATCACGTTACTGACTTAATCTGACATGGTCCGGTTACATTTGGATTGAATGTTTTGTCACTGGTTTTTCTTATTAACAAAACGTCATTAAATTATTTTTTTTCTTTGTTTTAGTCCTACCATCTATCAGCTTGCTGAGAGTAGGAGAGAAGAGATTATAAAATACTTAGTTGCTGTCAAGACTTGTTGATGCTTCAGTTTTAAAAGGCAACTCTTCGCGGTAACTTTTGTTTTTAAATAACTCATTTTATTTTATGTAATTTCTGTTATTGTAATTACTGATAAGATATACCGGGAGGTTTTTAACTAATTTAGTTAGCTTAACTGTTTTGATTTTTAATTATCGTGATTAGTTATTCAATTTTTTTTTGATTGTTGATTAATTATGAAAACGGAAATGGATGTTAAATTCACGGCGCTGTTGAGCAAAACTAGAAAAAATGATATTTTATTTAATCCGTACTTTTATTTTGAACTTCCTTTTGAATTGCCAAAAGTTTTTTGTGGTGAGTTTCTTTTTTATTTGTTTATTTACATAGAAGAAATTTTTTTTAATTGCAAACTAGCACTTTGTGACTTCCGTGACTTGTGAACTATAAATAAATAAAATTTTGCTTAATTAAATAATGACTTTTGTTAAATTGCACTGTAATTTTTGAACTATTGACGTTTTTAAAGATATAAGCTCATCCCGGTGGTACACTCGTCAAGAGCTTTCATTTGAGTACCCACATGCATTTTTGATATATTTTTCATATATACATATATATGATATATATTTTAAAAATATAAGCTCATCCCGATGTTAGGCTCATCAAGAGCTTTCATTTGAGTACCCACATGCATTTTTGATATATTTTTCATATATACATATATATAATATATATAAATATATGAAAAATTGATGTGGGTACTCAAATGAAAGGTCTCGATGAGTGTAACATCAGGATGAGCTTATATCTTTAAAAAAGTCAATTTATATCTGCAAAAATGTTAAAATTCGGAATTTTGATTTTATTATGATTAAAAAAAATTAAAATAATTTTTAATAAATTTGAAATTTTCTTTAAAAATTTTAATAAATTTTTTTTTTGATTATTTTTAAGAAAAATGATTTAAATATAGTTTTAAATTATTATTTTTCAATATTAGTACTTGAAGATAAATGATAAAATGCATTTTGATCTATTTTTGATATATACATATATATATATATTAAAGATATATAAACTCATCCTGATGTTACATTGATCAAGAGCTTTCATTTGAGTACCCACATACATTTTTGATATATTTTTCATATATATGTATATATATAATAAAGGAAATAATAAAAAATATAAACATTCACTTACTCGTTGAAATCCGGGATCAAAAATCTGAAACAAAATAAAGAGAAAATAAATAAAAATATGTATTAAATATACTTTTAAGGTCAAAGCTTTGAAATTTTTCATTCGCTGACAGTAATCCAGAGCGTTAAATTTATTGCCAAGATAAAAATTAAAACGAAATAAAAATTTTTATTTCTGTAAACTCGTGAAAATCTAGTCCACGGACAAAAAAACAGAGAGGAAGATTCTGCGGATGTTTTTTGTTGTGTGTACGAAAAATATTGGCACGAGATAAACCGACTGCATAAAAAATAAAACAAACCTTAAGTTGGTCGTGAAAAATCAATAAGAAATTAATTTATATAGCTCTATTTTAAAATAAATAACAATAACAATAACAATAATAACATTGAGTTACGTCCGGTATTTTATTTTAATTTATTATTTTATTTTTAAATAATTTTTTATTTTGAGTTTTTCCTTTTTTTTTAGCCAAACGGTCATAAAAATGATGTATTAGTCATTAAGTGCCCTTCAAATAATTTACAAAAATATTCAATGAGTTTACTAGGCCTAAAAGTAAATACTGTAATGCAATTCTAATGACTCCGCAGACTAAAGCCTTCCGATAGCGGGCTTTCAAAAAAGATAAAAGAATTAATATTTAAGAAATAACAGGTGAAATTGTTATTATTATATTTGCACACGTGGTCAAATATATTTTAAATTATCACGTCATGTTTAGGAAAACACTAATGAGGGTAAAGACCCAAGAAAATAATCACCAAAAAATTTTCTCCTTTAAGTTCTCCAAATGTGCACATCGTAGAAAAATTCACTAACAAAAGTTTATTTTCTGCCCTCCGGCCGGAAAGTGGCAACTTTCTGGCCGCTGCGCTAAACAAAGTTGCCACGTTCCGGCTACGTCGAGCAGAAAAATAGTATACACACCTTGGCCAGTAAAAAGTAAAGCCTCAGACCACATGTTTGTCAACCTCGGCTTCGCCTCGGCCAACAATTACATGTGGTCTGAGACTTTTCTTATTTTACTGGCCTAGGTATGTAATATACTATTTGTGGAGAGCCGTAAAGTTCAAATAAGTGCATAACACTTTAATTTTAAACAAAATGCAGAGAAGTAAGTAATAAATTCAAAGTAAACAAATAATAAATTCATTAAACAAATTAAATTTTCAACTGCATAAGAATGAAATAATAATTGACGAATAAATAGTGAAAAAAATAATTAATAATAGTAACCGCGTGTGTCGATAAAATAATTTTAGGTATTATCTATCTTTTGTAATTCTCCGATGTAAATTTTGAATTTTAATTTACTATTAGAAAAAAAAGTTGTAAGTAATTTAATCATTGAAGCTAAATTTAGGGTCAACAATATACTATATATATTAAATAATTTTATTAATAATCTGG